GCCCGGGTGCGTGTGTGTGAGCCTGGGTGTGTGCGTGTGAGCCGGGTGTGTGCGTGTGAGCCGGGTGTGTGCGTGTGAGCCCGGGTGCGTGTGTGAGCTTGTGTAAATGCATGTCCGCGCTGCGTGTTCCAGTGTGTGAGTACAGGTGTGTGCGTGTTTCTGCGGTGCAGGTTTGCGAGTCTGTGAGTGGGTGCTGGTGAGCGTGTCACGCAGTGGGTGTTAATGTGTGTCCAGTCTGAGTGCGGGCGGCTGGTGTGCGTGCTTGCGTGCTCAGACCTGTGCGTGAGCCTGATGCCTAGGTGGGGTGCGAGGCAGTGGCAGGTGAGCGTGCGCCCGCGTGTGGGGCCTGGGGCGGGCGCCCCCCGGGGGCGGCAGTGGAGCTGAGGGCAGGGCAGCTGCTCGGGCAGCAGCAGTGAGGGACGGGACAGAGCCCGCCTAGCAGGAAACTAGAGAACTGCAGCGACCGCGAGGGAAGCTCCCTCAGCTCCTCTGCCAGCAGACCGCGCTGCCGCGCCACGCCCACACGTCCCTCGCTCCTTCCTGTCCGTGCAATTGGCAGCTCACTGGCCGCCGCCGAAGCCCACACCCTTCTGCTGCCCGGGAACCTCCTCCTGGACCTTGCCCCCACCTCTGCCGTGCCCGCCTCCCACCACCAGTGTCGCGGGGGTCCTCTGCAGGGGGCTCAGGTGCAGGGGGTGAGATGTGGGTGGTCTTCAGAAGAGCTGGCGTCTGAGTGGCCCCTCCCCAGACACTGGAGGCCGCGGGGATGCTGTCCACTGGCCAGAGCAGCTGGGCGGGGATTCAGACCCAGGCCCACTGCGGGAGGGGGAGGAAGCTGAACGTGGGCCACTCCCCAGGGCAGGCAGAGCCAGGCTGCCGGTCAGGGCCCGGCGGGCCAGGGCCAGCCAGGGCCAGGGGGCAGGAGACCGCGGTAGCGTGGCCGAGTCCCCGAGGCAGCTTGTGTCCCCAAGGGCCTGTGGCTCCTGCCAGCCCGGGCTGGGGGCCCAGGCAGAAGGCGAGTCTCAATTTCAACTTTATCAAACTTGTATATTGCCCCAGCATTACCCTTTCTATAGCTATGCCTTTGGGATGAAAGTGATCGTATAATTTTCGTTCCGTTTTTCTCCGGAGCCTGGCAAAGGGGCCCTCACGGCCATCCCGCGGGGACCAGCACAGCTCTCTGCTGTATCCGAGGTGTAGCCTCACCGCCCCCAGTGTGTGTGGCCTCCTTCTGAATCTTCCCCCTGAGGCTTCTCATTGCTTTTGACTGCACTGGCCTGTGGGGTGACCGCGACTCCCCTTCAGACAGCCCCCTTACAGGCTGGGGTCTGCCCTCAGTCTCCTCCCGTGGCCTGTGGGGAACCCCAGGCTCTGGCCACCCGCCTGCCTTCTCGAGG